AGTAGACTGCGCCTAGATTGGAATATGAAGAATGTTTGAGGACCTGGCTGAAGAACAAGAACAAAGCATAGATTTGATTTAAACTCAGGCACAGCAGTGATTTATGTCTGTACATAATGGTAGACTGCACATTCTTCAATCATATTTTTTTCTTTTTCAATTCAGTTAACAGTTAACTTCTACCTTGACTTAATGGAAAACTGAATTAAGGTAGATGATTATGCCAAGTTTCTTCGGCCTGTTAGCAAAGCTTATTTTAACAGCAAGTGCAGTCAATGGATATACAACATTTATTTACCTCAGAAACCATCCTCAGACCTGACTTAAATATAAACCGGTGTGTCCTTTAAGCCTGTAAACTAGCGGTGAAGCTACATGTGCAGTCAGTCTCCGTTCTATCTACAGAACGAGACATTCAGTAGTCACTGCTGTGAGTGGAAGACCGTGTTTAGCACCGGTTAGCTCGACAGTTGCTATCCTGCTACGTTCCTCACAAGAATCTCGTCAAAAATTACAACTTTAGTTGACAATTACTTTCGTTTAAGGGTCTATAAACCAATACAGAGTGACTGTATGATTGTTAGCACGTGTGACGTTGTCAGTACCTCAGTGGACATAAAAAAAACAGGACCATGTGTAACATTTCCTGCAACTGACAAAAAAATATTAATCAATTCTGAATAAATATTGGTTAGAGCTGCACACCGGTATTCTGGATACCAGTCTGCAGCGCTAACCTTCATTTAACTACACGGGTTAATTAACGGTAATTTGGTAAACATTGCATAACTCACGTAAATTAACGCTAAGACCTTAATAGATACAATGACCGGCACATAAATGTGGCTTTGTGGCTAAACTGGAACCAACCTTTCAGTCCAATTTGTCTTCACCACACCGGCTCCTGAGGAGGAAATGTGGCGACGTTATAAAAACACCGGAGAGTCACTCAGAGGTTACAGAGGTACTATGCTGCTACAGGGGAAGTATGTAAATCAATCTGCTTCCGGCAACACCTTCAAAATAATAGGCGCGCTTATTTTGCTAATTTTCTAGGTCGACGCTTGCTTGTTTTTTTTGTCTTAATAAAATGCAAGGCATTTTTCTTTTGGATTGACAGCTTGTCATGCAGACGCTTTGTCAATGCAAAGAGAACACTGTTAGCCTGAGGGGCTGGCACTCACTCAACAACCAAAACATGAAGATGTGTAAAGAAGCCAAGAATTCAAAATAGAATAACCTTCACTGAGAAGTATTAAAAGCATCAAAAGAAAATCAGTCTCCTTCTCCACCTTGGCTGCACTGCAGTGGTCCACACATCCTTGGCTGAACGTAAAGAGATGAGCAGCAGCTTTTGTGGCTGCTTCACTGGTGAAATGAATAAATGAACAAGTCTTTCGGTGTGAGCCATAAACATGTTGCTTTTCAGCCTCCTCCACCTCCTTCCCTTCAAAAGACATAATGGAAAATTTCAAACATCCATTCTCACCATCACATGTTTAATGTCTAGTGCAGTTCTTTGGCTGCCAGCGTCGACATAGTCTTGACCTGTCGACACCTTTGGAGAAGGCAACTTAAACTGAAGGGTGTGTTTTCTCCAACATTTGATGTTTTCCCATCAACGAGGCCAGTAAAACGTGTTGTTGGAAGGAACAGCCTCATTCAACTGACACTCACTTCCTGGAGAAGCAGACGGCATGTTCACCTTTATTTGATCAGAGTGAAGCCACGCAAACAAAATGACATCCAAAGAACAGAATCTCAGTGTAACAGTACTTCTCAAATTTATTTTTTTTACATTTGTAGAAAAACATTTTTAAAAATCTTGCTTCTTGGAATTAATGTTGCTGAAATATGAACACATTGCTCTGAAGATGCCTCCCAGTTGACACTGCATGGGTGACAAGACAATGACTAAGTCCTAATATTAAATATATTTTCTTTATATACATATATATGCATATATAT